TGTATTATTTGTGTATGATTTTCTACATTTTGAGTACCCGATATATGTAAGATATGTGTAGGATATGTGTAGGATAGACCATTTTTTTACCAGTGCTAAATCTGGTAGTATACAAGTTTTTGGGTCTTTTGATCCTGTTGCTATCTTTTTACGTTACCTTTTTGAATATTCACTACCTGAGTTTTCTTCTGTAAAACTTGTGGGTGAAAATAAGGCTCTCCTGCACAATTATAAATTTGTGATTAATATCGGGAGTGATAAGTTTATTAATCTTTCTACCTTAGTATATGCTTTAAAGTCTATAGATGGTATTCGTGAGATTCTCCTCTTTCTGATAAAGTATATTAAGAATGATGCAGGTGATATTCATTCTAAAATTGCTATAGTCTTCACATCAAAAATTCGGGTATATATCTGGCCTAAATCTGGTAAGTTTAATATATTTGGCACTAAGACTGAATTAGATGCTGATATGATCTATAAGTTCTTACAGAAGTTGTTTTCTAATCCATATGATTTTGGTGATTTTATTTGTGATGCACCTATTCCAGATTGCGAGAGGTAAAAAATAGTTTCACTGAGAACTAGAAACCTTCTATTTGTAAAATCCAGCAATCACATTCCTGACTTCTTGTTGGCATAAGACATTCATCACATAGAGTTATAGCCAACACATTTTTTAGCCTATCCAGTTGACTCTCAGTAGTCAGTGTAAGATTCTGGTAGTATTCATTAAATTCATTCTGCTCTTCTTCATTTATATCTTCATCTATGTTTTCATCTGTGTCTTCATTCATATCTTCATCTCCTTTAATATGGTAAATGCTGAATTCATTTCTATATTCATCATTAGGATTTGTGAATATTCTTTGTATATTGTAATCTATAATGTTGAATGTTGTAGGTTTCTTTTTTGATGATATTTCTACTAAGTCTAATAATGCATATGCTAATTCATTATCCTCTGAGAAGTTCTTAATAATATCTGAAAATCTTTCATATATTGCCAATTTGCCATCTCATCTGGTAGAATAGAATATCTTATTCGTGATAAAAGTGATGATGGATGTACTTTACTAAAAATGGCCAATTTTTTGAAATGATTTTGTAATAATTTTAAAATACTACAAAAATACATTTAATACATCAAAATGTTTTTATTATATTTTTGCTATTATTTTGTAATTGTATTGTATCTAGGTCTATAAAAATAACTCAAAATAAT